TGTATATGTATTTAGCTGTATTTGTGAATGGTTACTTGACCTTCACAGTTGTTCTTGTTTTATTTTTTATGTATTAATAATACATGTATTCTTGTGGATCACAGTGGCTCTAACTGTTTTTTATTAAATGTATTAATTGTATTAAAATGTATGCTTATACATCTAGGTGTATTCAGCCATGTTTAAATGTATAACACTGTATATATTTGTGTTGTATACTACTCTATATGTATATATAGATGCAATAATATATTCAAACGTATATGAGTGTATTTTTTGTAAGTATTTATACTGATCATATGTTTAATTATAACTTCTTTGCAGCTATGCATTATTATGTATGTCTGAAGATTGTGAATGGAGGTTTAAGACTTCTAGCATTAACAAATCACAATTATTCAAAGTGAGAGAGTTCAATGATAAGCATACATGTCCGTTGAAGGATAAGGTGTATGAGCAACATCAGGCAAGTAGCAGCCTTATAGGTGGTATGATTAGGCCCAAGCTTACAAATCATAAGAGGAAATACACCCCAAAGGATATCATTGATGATGTGAAAACTGATTTAGGTGTCGATGTTAGTTACATGTTGGCATGGCGGGCTAAAGAAAAGGCAATGAATTTTTTGAGGGGTGAACCGGCTGATTCATACAATAAATTACCAGGATACTTGTATACAATGGATATGACATATCCTGGTTCGCACATTAGAATGGTAAAATTCCCACAAAATGAGTTCAAGTATGTGTATATATCCTTGTATGCCTTTATAAAGGGGTTCGATCAATGTAGACCCATTGTGGTTGTGGATGGAAGCCACTTAAAATCGTATTATACTGGGACTTTCGTCTCGGCCAGCACTTTGGATGGTGCAGGTGAGTATGCTGGTCATAATAAAATATTATAATTATTACTGCATATTAAATATTGAAATACATATTTATAGTATGTATGAAATTTTATTTACAGGTCATATACTTCCAATAGCATATGATGTTATTGATTCAGAGAACGATGCTGCTTGGACGTGGTTCTTTGAGCAATTCAAGGAAGCATATGGTGAGAGGGAAAGCATGTGCATCGTTTCTGATAGGAATGAAAGTATCATCAAGTCCGTATCAAGAGTGTATCCAACTGTACCACATTTTGCTTGTATATGGTATCTTTGGAACAACGTATATAAGAAATTAAAAAAGAGTCATTCAAAGTTAAGCGAGATATACTTCTCAATGGCAAAAGCGTACACACAGGCTGAGTTTGACAGTCTAATGGAGAAGGTGGAGAAGGTAGATATTAGGGTGAAGGAATACTTGGAGTTAGCTGGATACGAAATGTGGGCTAGGTTGTATGCACCTGTCAACAGGGGATGGACAATGACGTGAAATATTGCCGAGTCAATCAATGCCGCACTTGTGTCAGCAAGGGAATTACCAATATACGACCTCCTCGAAGAAGTTAGGAAAATGGTTGGACGTTGGAATTGCAGCAATCGGAAAGAAGCACTAGAGACATACACAACACTTGGGAAGAAATACCAGGAGATGCTTGTCACACCTCCTTTTTTCTACACCACCCCGAAGGATAGTGTATAAGGGAGTTTTTTCACTTTAAGTGACAATCGAAACGGGATTCGTTTATTAAGAAGTTCAGAGTCGCCACTTGGGAGATTTATGGTGTCCCAAGTCACCGGTTTAAATCCCGAATCGAGGAAAAGGTTTGACTCTGTTTAACAGTCGCGAACCAGAAATCCGGTTAAGGAATTCTGTTAACCCGGGAGAAGGTATTAGGCATTCCCGAGTTTCGTGATTCTAGCACGGTCGCTCAACTGTTATAAATGGCCTATTATCTGATTTTAGCACATGTTTTAGCCTATGGTGCAATTTTAAATCTTTAACCGTTTTTAATTAAATAAATTTTAAGAAAGTGAACGTCGTTTTAAAAACGTGTTTTTGGATCACGTCACACGAAATGCACCCGGATCCTCAACACATTTTTATTCAACGTTTTGGGATTTGAATTTGGGTCGCATGAAATGCACACCCGAGTTTAGGAAGGTAAAATTATTAAAGAACGCGCCTAAAGCGACTAACGTGTCATTAACTTTGCGGGAGGCCATGAAAATTCGCTAAATGGCACACCCCGAATTCTAAATATTTTAATACAAGCATTTAATGAGGGCCCTGCAATTTATATGCTTTGTGCGGCGAGGCTCGTCTCATTTTTATTTAAAGGCTATCCTAGAGCAAGCTATAATTTCCTATTTAATTTTTGTCTCTAAAGAATCCTAATTAATCAATTTTATCAGTTGCTATTATTTAAAATAATCAAGGAGTTTGGGTCTCAAGTTCAAGTCCACACTTGAACAAAGGCAAACCTCTTAATTCAAGCATGCTACTTAACTAGGAGGCCCAAACCCCAAGTTATAAATTTAAACCCGTGATCTTAATATAAATTCCAACCTTCAGCATGTTTGGGCTTCAAATTAGCCCAATAAAAGGAGTTTAGAAACAGCTTAATAAGAAACAATTGGTATTAGGCCCGCGATCAGACCTAAATGAGAGGAGAAAACTGTTTGACACCGGGCCTTAAACAGATTCAGGCCCAGGTCTGATTCAAATTAAAACAGTCACGTTTGGGCTTCAAAAGGTTTCAGGAAATCAAAAAAAATGGAATTTGATTATCTTTAAACATCATTCTAACGCCAAATCATATTCATAATGAAGACATAATCCAGTAATGGTTCGTTCACTATCACCTTGTTACTTAAATCCCAATACCATCCGTGACCTTTTGATTAATGAACTGATGCATTCAACAACTATATGTCACATAAATAGAATTAACTAGCTAAAGTAATCGGCAACCATCCAAACCATCCCAAATCACGTTGGAATCACATCTGCAGTCCTGAATCCTAAACAGGCTCGTATGAACAGAACTTCATGCCGTAACCACTAGCATTTCCATTTTTAGCTAACTAAACACAAATCATATGAAAGTGTCAACTAATTGCAGCTAAAATATAAACAAATGTCAAGATATATCACCCTAGAGCTTCGACTATGACTTTCAAGACCAAACCTGAGTGACTCTCAGCCAGACATTCACAAAGGCTAGAATCCTGATGCAGCACCAAGCATAAACTCAAACAGTTGAAGTCCATTGTTCAACTATGGACGCAGAACGCGAAATACAATACCAAGTCATTCTCACACACTAGATTTCAGCAGGAATAGGGGCCCTAACTAACACTTGAGCTCTAATTACAGAACATGAAGCAGTAAAAAAAAGAAGAGAAATTCAGCTTCAAACAAAATCTTCATTTAACAAAACTTCAATTCTTTACATGCCCAACAATCAAACCTCAACCATGAACCAAGGAAATACCTGGATAAAAACAAAGAAAAAGGTGAGGAATGAAGCAGTAACAGCAATCAACCCAGCAGCAACACAACTCAACCAACTCGAATATCAAAACCAAAGGGAGGCAAACACATTCGAACTAGGACTAGAGCATACCAATTTTAGAAAGAATGCAACCCAAATCAGTATACCAAGGGTGATTTCAACCGAATTCAAACCCAACACCTCTGAATCAGACCTTAGAGCTAAGATTTAATCCATTGTTAAACCTTAAATGAACAAGAATTGCTTCAGATGTGAAGAAACTTTGAGAATCCAAGCAAGGGGGCAATGGAATAGTATTTTTAGAGGTTTTTGCCGCCTAGAGTTTTTAGTATATTTTTTCAGTGCTTCCAATCTCCCCCTTCAGCCCTAAGTAACAATGCCTTTATCGGCAAGTTACTAGGGCAACTTCAGACCTTCAGTTTTTAACCTTTAGTCCTTTTTGAACTTTTATTTAAACTATACCCAAGTTAAACCATCAAAAGACCTGAAATAATCTAGAACCCCTCCCTAGAAGCTTCCAATTCTGTTATTAAAGATTCTCCTATCCAATTTACCTAAACTACCCCTAAATGTGCCTGTTTTTACACTCAGCAATTCATACGGGTCAACTGGTCAAACTAATTGGGCCATAGACCCTGAATTGAAACCCTAAATGGGCCTGGTACTACCTATAAGGTAATCTAACCCAAACTCTTTTTACACAAAACTCAAACAAATAACCACGATGAACACAAAACCTGATAAACCAACCCAACTAATACATCACAGCATTAATTTAAAACCCATTACAGTATAGCAAAGCTCAGATTAATCATGAAAACTTAAATCAAGCACACAAAGTTCAGAGAAATCTGGATACCAAAATTAACAATGATAATCCTAAATCAATGCTAATCATTATACTAACACTACTCCATCTTAAGGACACTTTCAGAACAGTAAAAGAAAAAATGATAAACAAGAGGCGAGAAAGGAGAGGACAGAGATGAAAACAACAAAAAAAGCGGAGAAGAACGAGGAAGGAGGGGAAACAGAAACGAAAATAGGGAAAAGAAAAGAAACGAAGAGAATTACCTAAAAGAGAAAACAAACGACCGGCTTGAACGAGCTCCGGCATTCTTTGATTTGAACCCAAATTGGTATTAATCGAATGTTCTTGTTGAGAACAAACGATTAATACAAATTTCAGGCCAAAATCACTTTTGGACAGTGGGAGGCTTTACTTCTTCCTTTCTCTTAGATCTGAAACTGGCCTCGCTTGGTGATGATTTGAAGAGATGTGGTGGTGAATTAGGGTTAAACAAAGGGTAACGGTTGTCTGGAGGAAAGTTGGGTTGAATAGGGGTGGCGCCGCCACCGGAGAAACTGTGGCGGCGCTAGGGTTTCATAATTTCAAACCCAGATTCGGGGAGTTCTAGGTATATTTAAGGAAAAACAATAGGTGAGTTCGAGACGGAGGGAGGGAGAGGGGGCGTCGTGGTGTGAGTTTGGTGATGATTGGCCGCGGCCGCGTGCCGCAGGCGATTTTGGTCAGGCGGCGAGGCGGCGGGTGGAAAGGCGGGGTTAAAGGGCGTAGNNACTATAAAGGGTAAAGTAGCTATATAATATAATATTTTAAAATGGTATTTATTTAAATAAATAGGATACTAATAGCCTGTTTGGCCTAAGCGTTTTTTTTTTGCCAAAAGTGCTTTTTTGGCCAAAAGCACTTTTGGCCAAAAAATTGAGGTGTTTGGCCAAGCTTTTGGAAGGAAAAAAAGTGCTTTTGAGGAGAAGCAGAAGCAGTTTTGGAGAAGCAGAAAAAAGTAGTTTCTCTCCAAAAACACTTTTCTGAGAAGCACTTTTGAGAAAAATACACTTAGAAGCAGTTTTCAAAAGCTTGGCCAAACACTAATTACTGCTCAAAAGTACTTTTCAACTCAATTAGCCAAATACAAATTGCTTCTCACGAAAAGCACTTTTTTAAAAAGTACTTTTGAGAAAAGCACTTCTCAAAATAAGCTGATTTTAGAAGCTTGGCCAAACGGGCTCTAACTTTTCTACAGGGTGTAAAATTTCCAATAAAATAAGGATTATTACAACCGTGAAAAAGAGGAAAAGGGGTACACGTGTCACTGATTGCTAGTGGTAGCATAGAAATCCTATGCCCTTTTAGGTTATAAGTTGTGAAATGTTAAAATCGACTCTGTACCCCTAACCCTCACTCCGCCATTTTCAACAGTACAAAGCCTATTAATCTCTGGTGAAAACAAACCGGGTTCGAAGAAAAGATTCTCTTGCGATGGCAATGGCAGGGCGAGTCAGATCCACGCTCCCTCTCCTCCGCAAAGCCCTTTGCTCCGATTCAAGATCCCTCCTCTCCAATCCTGAGGTATTCATTGTTATCAGATATGAAACCTAATTTTGGTCTTCGATATTGCTGATTTGTTTGTAGTTGTTGGGTTTTGCTTTCATCTATATTTTGATTCTAGATTCTTGAAATTATATATTTTTATTTATGTGAAATGGCTGAATGTTGTTATTGGGTTATATATATGCAGTCACAACAAACCGTTTCGTTTTTTTAAAATTAAAAATGAAATCGAAGGGAATAGATGGTATCGTTGCAGCTTAGGGTCGATTATTTTGGTGTGATTCTCTTATTGAATATCCTGTTGGAACCGTTTGTAGTTCTGTTCTATTTACACGCGAACTACTTGAAAAGAGAAATCTTTCGATGTGCACAGTGCTTAAGCACATCCCATTTGAAGTTTTTGCTGAATCGCTTTTCTTTTCACAGGACCGTTAAAAATGTCCATGTTGAAATCTGGTAAAATGGCATGTTATGTTTATTTTTTTAATATATGTTTGTCATTTTTTTTTGCAGTTGTCAAGGAATTATGCTACTGCCCCAGCCAAAGAGCAAAAAGTTAAGGTTAGTAAATCGTATGAGATTGTAGTTGTATTTGTGTGTGTAATATCTGTTTCTGAGATAGTTTTTCTTACTTGAGAGTGGTGAATGTTCTGAAGTTTCAAGTTGAATCCCTCAATATGCCACTTATTGCTGCCAAAAGCATTGCATTCCTACCCTGAATTAAATGCATATTGAACCAATTGGGTACATCAAATCCTCAAAGTGGTAGCTGCATCTTTGATTTCAAATCTAAGTTGGAGAGTCCTTCGGCCTTTCTTGAATTTATTAGAGAAGTTATCGATCCCTTCAGACAAAGTTCAACCCCTTTCTTTTTGAAGGTTGGATGTAAATCCACACTGTATATTGTCACACCAACTTGTTGTGTATTGGTTAGAATTCATCTGAATTAGCAACTATCGAGCTCACTTGTATTAATAGGATAAAGTACCTCGCATATAAAAGTTCTGACGGTTTTTTGAAATGAAGGTTGAACATAACTTAATTTTTTTGGCACATTGCTCATATCTGTTAAATTAATGCCTTCATTTGGCGAATTCTTTGGCAATGGATAGTATGAACTGACACTTTTCTCCCATGTACTCCTGGCGGTTGTTTTTTTCATTTTGCTGCCAAGTCCAATTAGTCCTTCATATAGAACTGGGATACTTCCTGAAAAGTGTTAACAGAAGTGCTCGCAGCAAAAATGATGTGGATCATTTCAAGAGTAGAAGTCAATTGTTGACCATGTTAATAGTCCCATATTATTGGTTGATAGAGAATCAACGTAAATTCTACCAATGAATAGCTACTTGACTTAGTGGTCGACATGGACTATAAGTGTTTGAAGCTGTTTGTAGAGCAAATAAATCATCTTCTCATTATTGTTGTAGAATACTATGGTTGTCAGGGTTGATTATTAGCCATAAAGCTCAAAACATCCTTGTTCTCCTGTCAATTATTTATGTCCTGGACCAGTTCATTCTTACCAATTGTACGGAATGTAGAAAGTCCTATTGTTATATTTTGCCTCATTTATCTCAAATGTGTTCTGAGTTTTGTTATATTTTGCCTCATTTATCTCAAATGTGTTCTGAATTCTCTTCTCTCTTCCTGTTTGTGAATCTAAGTTTAAATTCGAAATATGTATCAATCTCTGTCACTTGAAGCAATTACATCATTTTCTTTCTTTCATAGTGTCTTCAACCTAAGAGATGCTAAGAAATGGATACTTTTACCAAAGCAAAGGAATACAAGTCTTACATCTGTTACGTCTTTTGCTTCTATGATGTTTTAGGTTCCTGTGACGATGTATGGAGTTTCTGGAAATTATGCCTCAGCTTTGTACATTGCAGCTGTAAAAGCTAGTGCATTGGAGAAGGTGGAGTCTGAGATTTTGGACCTTATTGAGGCTTCAAAGAAAAGTCCTAAATTTTCTCAGTTTATGAAGGATCTCTCTGTGCCTAAGGATACAAGAGTGAAGGCCATAAGTGACATCTGTGCACAGGCTAAATTTGGAGATCTCACAAGGAACTTCTTGGGTATGATACAATTATATTGTTATTTCTGAAAGAAAATACTACTATTCCATTTTTTAAACTTGAGATTTGTTGGTTTAGATAACAAGTAGAGATGCCATAAATAAACAGATTCTCATTTTTTTGAAATTAGATTCTGCTTCAAGATTTTGATCCTGGTAGATTGGTTGTTTTGTTAACTCAAAGATTCACATCAATTTGGTATCTATATTCTGTTTTAGAGGATGCAAGTTCCTTTAATCGATGTTAATCTTACTAGCAAATTATAAATTCTTCTTCAATGTCGCTATTTGTTGGTATTTATTTTCCTAGCTGCATGGTCATCTCTTCATACTGGAAGCTGAGGCTTCCTCTGTTATCAGTTCAGGTGTTCTCTTTTACTCCATTGGGGGGGAGGGAGTACGTGAGTTGTGATTAGTTTGGTGTATATCTTCAGGAAATTCTCATTGTAGTTTCACCCCTTCAACATTGTACCCCTTCAGATTAATGCTTGACTAAACAAGACAATCCAGAAGATACATTCCTTTTAATTTTATTTAGTAGGATTCGTTTTTACAATTTAGAAGATTAATTTCACATTGAACTACAACTGGCCCCTCTCTCTCTCTCTCTCTCTCTCTCTCTATATATATATATATATATATATATATATATATATATATATATATATAGATTGTGGTAGAATGATCTTTATGGCAATATTTTTTTTGCTATAGTGGTATAACCATATGCATTCTCAATCCTTGTTTTATTCCCTGAATGCTAAGCTGCATGTGGGTATTTTATTAGACTTATTTTAGTTTTCTTTAGCTGTACAAAGCACTATGAGGTAACCAAACAATAATGTCAACTACAGTCTTGACCTTGACCATTTCAACTAATGTGGTAAAGTTGTGGTCCATCATCATTCAGAATCCCTTCCCCTAAGCTAATTTGCAAACCTTACAACTTATTTGTATTAACCCTTGTCTATATCATGCTTTCCTCAAGCCAATACTGCAAATACAATTATTTTGAACTTTTCTTTTATTCTGATATCTGTTTGTCATTTATCGCTTTCTAGTGACATGGGAATTTCCACTTTTTTCCTATTGTTTCATCGCTTCAGGAATAGTTCTTCCTCATTATCACTTATCATGTTGGCAGCATAAGCTGCTAAGTTATATTTCATTTTGGCAGAACTTTGGCTTACTGTTGCCTTTTCTGCATTGGTTTCTATGTTTGATTTAAAGATCAGAGCTTAACAACCACTAATTTCACCGTTCATCTCTTTGTTTTCTTATTGTCATGTGGTATCTAAGCACGTGTATTTCAGCTTTATTAATCTGCTCAGGTAGTATTTTCTTTCCGTTTATGTTCACTTTATATTTGTCTGACACGTTCTCTTTCACCTGTGCATTTCTAGTTGTTTTGGCCGAAAATGGGAGGCTGAAACATATTGATGCCATAGCAAAAAGGTTTGCAGAGTTAACCATGGCACACAAGGGGGAGCTTAAAGCCATTGTAACAACTGTTATTGTAAGTTCACCTATTTTGAACTAAAAGTTTGATTTCGAATTTAGATCCTCTTCTTTCGGTCTTCGTATAAAATTTGTCCAGGCTATGAACTATGTTTTCGACATGGTATTTATTATATCGTTCTTTGAAGAGTAACTGAAACTCAAATTAGGAGGATGAAAGCAATATGAAGTTTGCTTATAAACTGCTTATGGGGACTCTTGGAAGATCGTTATGAAGCAACTCTTTTCACTGCAGAGAGATAGTGTCTTTACAGTTTTTCTTACTTAGCAGTTTGCTTTAAAAGTCACTATATCTGCACTTTTAATGTGACTACAAAATGACATCCAATGTAATTAGTACCATGGGTAGTTCTATTCTAATATTTCAATGTGTATAATCATTATTAGTGGGGACCCTTCATGTAATGCTTGATACTTTGAGTTGAATTCTTTCATGCTTGCCCGTCTCTCTTGCACCCTGAGGGATTGGGTGGTTAACTGCTGTATGATACACGAGATTTTAATTTGGGCAGTAGGATGTATATGTTACTTTATCTGGTTGTCATAGTTTGTTATTTTGTCGTAGTTAAATATCTGATTATTGTATCTTTTGTTTTCTTTACCCAGCCTCTTCCTCCCGAAGAGGAGAAAGAATTGAAGGAGACATTGCAAGACGTGATGGGAAAAGGGAAGAAGGTGAACATTGAACAGAAGGTACATTATGATACTGATAATTATTTGGTAAATTCTTCTTAACAATAAAGATTGCATCTGCTTATGATGTTATTTATTTCCATTCTTGTACAGATTGATCCTAGCATTCTTGGTGGGCTTGTGATTGAATTTGGGCAGAAAGTTTTTGACATGTCGATAAGGACTAGGGCACGCCAGATGGAAAGACTCTTGAAGGAACCTCTCAACTTCTGATTGCACGGAAGCCTGTTTTAGTTATTAACCCTGTTGTGGTTTTAGCTGAAGATGAACATCCTCTTCATTTTGACTGCTTGAAGTGTTTCCTTTTCATATAATGTTCTTGCAAATAAAAGCCTACTTATACATTTGAATCTATCTTCCAAAGGAAAACCGATCATTTTTTTGTGATTTTTTGTGAGGGCAAAGTTGGAATACAAATAATATTTTCTTTTTTTTTGGTCTAAAATTGCGTGAAATGCTCAGTTATGTGTCAAGTAGGTGCCAATTGTTTGAGTGCAATTATTCTCTCCATTAACAACTAATCTTTGCTTGTAAAATCTTTTGAGTTACTAATTTCAACATTGAGAGCTCCAGTCTGTGTAGCATGGGGAATTCATAATATCTTGTTTTTGCCTTTGGAGGAAGGGCTCCGTAAAACGCAATGGTGTATGTTACAAAAGCAACCTCCTTTTTCTTATTTACAAAAGTGATTAACTGATTATTACTCCCTCCGTTTCAATTTATGTGAACCTGTTTGATTGGGCACGGAATTTAAGAAAAAATAAAGACTTTTGGAATTTATGGTCTTAAATAAGTCAAAAAGGGGTCTAGAGTATGTGTGGTTGTAAAAGCTTCTCATTAAGGGTAGTATTGTAAGTTTAAATTAATTTGTTTCTAAATTTAGAAAGGGATTATTCTTTTTGGAACAGACCAAAAAGGAAATACGTTCACATAAACTGAAATAGAGGGAGTATCAAATAAGCTTTTGGGTTTTGTCATCTTTACAATTCGAGATCATGATCAATTTATTCCTAAGAGTTGAGGAAGTAAAGGAAAAGTAATCACACCGAATCGATTTAGTTACTGAGGTTAAGAGGTAGATTGAAGTGATGATATGTATTAAATCGTTTTTTTCCCTTGTAAACAAGAGTGAGAAATAAGATCAAATTTCTCCTGATTTTAGCGGTAAAAATTTCACGGGACGCCGTATTTCGTCACCCCATTTTATTTGTACAAACTTTAAAAAAAATATATTTAACAAGTACCCAAAGTATAGACAACTTCAGATATTTTTCTCCTTTTTTTCTTCTTTTTCTTCTTTTCTTAGGCGCTGTGAAAACAAACGCGACAATGAATTTACATGGTATTTGTGAGCAGGTTTTAAGGTGGTTTATGGTAATTTATAGTAGTGAGCTGCTGTGACGCTCCTTTCTTTGCTACTCCTTTCTTAATTGCAAAATTGGTTTGTTAGAATTATTGTTGATTTGACAAATTGACAATTGGGGTTTGTTCTTTATGATAGTGAGCTGTTGTGGCACTCCTTTCTTTGCTACTGCTTAGGTCTTCTTCTTCTTAATTGCAAAATGGGTTTGTTAGATTGTTGTTGTTTTGACAAATTAATAACTGGAGCTTGTTCTTTATGATATTTGGAGGTCATGTTTGAAATTTGAGACCATTTGGAGTAGATTTAGGTGTTGAATCGTGTATTGGATTGTTGAAATTTGAAGAACAATTTTTTCTTTTTGAGCAATTTGTACTTTAGACTTACTTGGCCTTAAGTGCATGAAATATTGGTTGCACTTTAGGCCTATTTGGCCTTAAGTGCATCTTAAGTGCAAATTTTTCACTTCATACCTATTTAACCTTAAGTGGATAAAAATATTTATTGCACTTCATGCTTATTTGGTGTTAAGTGCAATTTTTGCACTTTAGACTTAATTAGACTTAAGTGCATTACACTTCGGACTAAATTTTTTCTTCAACTTCGCACCGGAAAAGTCTGAAATTGATTCTAAAATGGATAAACTTGCAAATTTTGAGCAAAGTGGATATAACTTCAATGGTAACCCCAAAATTGAGTAAAAATGCAAATACCCCATTTTAGCGATGTCTTTTAAGATTACCAAGAAAGATGAAAAGGATGAAGAAGTAGGTAAAAAAGAAAATAAAAGAACAAGAGTGCTATTGCGTTGTTTTCAATGTATAATGGGTTTTTACAAAGGAAAACTTACACAAATGTCCCAAATAAGTTTCAACTTACCAACCTCTAGCCATTAATCATAGACTTACCAAAACTAGCAAGCACATATAAAACTTGAAAAACCAAATAAATAAGGATCTTTCTCTCAAAGAATCACATTCAAAAATCAACTTCCATATTTTTAAGCGTGATTAGCGACATTAGATGCAAGAAGGAAAGGAAATTTAATGGATGAGGTAGCAAATAAGGTGATGAAATACGAAAAACAATACAATATTCCAAAAATCTAAGCAAACAAGGAACTTTTTCAATGCGTATAGTTGAAATTCATTGAAAACATATAGATAAGTCAATATACAAAATTTGAGGAAGATTGGAGGTGATTTGGACTGGTTTTGCATCAAAATTCGTAATTAAATCGAGTTCAAAAAATTCTTCTGCGACACATATATGAAATATGTATCACGCATGTATCTCACACACAGGTATAAATGGATATACATACATAAATAGGCAAATTTGGTAAGAAGAAAAAGTAAATTTATGATAATATTAAATTTTGGTAGAAAATTAACAATGAAACGAATAAATATTTTACATGAATATTTCACTCTTCACGATCACTAGCTCTTGAATATACAATGGATGCTTAATGTAATCACTTAAAAGAAAGAAGATATCACTATAATTGTAAGGCTACTGTTAAATGAACCCTCAGAAATTCTCTTTTTAAAAAAAAAAAAAAATTTATATAGGAATTTGAAATTTTAAGGCAATCATATCTTTGTGTGGAAGAAAATTATTAAAATTGGCCAAGTTTTTATTTAGACTGATTATGGTAAATGTCTTCTCAAGAAATTATTTTCTGGTTTACAAATAAAGGAAAAAAAGTTTATTGCACAACTAACGCTTCTTTATGATAACACCATAACGTGGATATTAATTGTCTTTCATATGGGAGTAATATTTTTCACTACATTTTACAGAACAGATTCTACATCGTACGTGGTCCATTTATAGATGTTAACATGTCAATTTGAGGAAACAAAGATTATTACATTTAAAAACACTAATAAAATTCCTGAAATTAGTCAAACATACGAAAGTTGTGTTGTTCATTGTGACATGCAACATGATTTGGCAGTTCAAATTACTATTTTCAATTTTCATAAATGGTAGATCATTATATTTTTTTAATATTCAAATCATCACGTGAAAGCAAAAAGATTATTATATTAATAAATATCATTAAGTGAACAACGAAAACAAATTTGTACCTGAAAAATAGGAAGCAATGGAGAGTTCAAATTACTACGCAAGTCCTGAAAAAGTTTCTCCAATTTGCTTTTGATACCAAAGGATTGCTCTAATTATTCCACCACCATGCACGGCTATTCTCGCTCTTTTAATCATCTCAATGCATAGTCTTGACAAAGATATTATAAGTCAGTGAGTTCCGAATGAGCATTATCTTATGATAACACAAAGGTTGGGAGATCCAAAAATTTGAATAAAACAAGTTGATGAAATGCGGAAGTAGCAAAGAAATGCAAGCGGAGCAAGAAAAATAAACTAGATATGTTGAAATTCAAGGAAAGGTCCAAGAACCTCGAGATTATGTTAATATAGATTTTGACAAGATCCTAATGACAACAAGTTGGTTATGAAACCAATTGCCTTCACTAGAGATAAGCTAATCAAGAACTAGATTTGGATCTTGACTTCTAGTTTGAATAACTTACGACAACAACTAGTAAGAGAAACTAGTCGCCTTCGAAGAATATCAAAAGAAACCAAAGATATCACAAGAAAGAAAACTATCTTACTACCTTAAGCTATGAACTAGTTAGGGTTGCAAGATAAATCTTCAAAGTAAAGTTCACAAAGGTTCAAAAGAACTCACAATAATAATATTAATCTTCAATGTCCTCTACAATGGAAGACAAGCCCCCCTTTATATAGTAGTAAAGAAGGAGCTAGTCAAAACTTCAATAAATGAGAATTATATTCCCTAGAAGCATAGAAGACTACCCACACTAAGACCAATGTATTCAACATACACATAGACCAATGCAAGTCAACATAGATTAAAACAACTATTAAATATATATTCTAGAAACTATTTTTGGGCTTATTTGGGCTGCTGAAAATTCCTCTCTTTTGTGGCATATTTGGGCCTCATTCCATCTCCTCTTGGACTTTAATTTGGGCCTCAAAATAGTTGTAATACTTGGCCCAAAGATCCTCCTTGTGCTGGAGCTCTTCTTCTATTATAAGACACTTTTTAATTGCCAATTGAAGCCCATTAAACTTGTCTTGAAATTTCTTTGTTTGAGACCTTGTCATGGGCCTTCTTGGAGCTTCCAGAGCTTCCTCCTTCTCCTTTAATGATGTTGAGCTGCCATGAATGCTATCATTCCCCTCTTCTTGAAGAGAATTCGCCCTCGAATTCGAGCCTGCATCAAACAAGGAAAGATCAGAAACATTGAAGGTAGCACTAACTTGATATTCACTAGGAAGGTCAAGTTTGTAAGCATTGTCTCCAATCCTTTCAAGGACTTCAAATGGCCCATCTCCTCTTGGATCTAATTTGGATCTTCGTTTGGCAGGAAATCTTTCCTTCCTAAAATGCACCCAAACTAAATCTCCAGGTTTAAAAATGACAGATTTTCGCCCCTTATTTCTTCTTAAGGCAGTTTGTTCATTCTTCCGTTCAATTGCAAGCCTTGTATGTTCATGAATCTTCTTCATCATTTCAGCCTTATTTCTACCATCAAGATTGACAATGTCATTAGTAGGCAAAGGTAACAAATCAAGGGGAGTGAGGGGATTGAATCCATAAACAACTTCAAAAGGAGACTTACCAGTAGAAGAGTGGATAGTTCTATTATAGGCAAACTCTACCATGGGCAAATGTTCTTCCCAAGAAGTTAATTTTCCTTTTAAAACAGCTCTCAACATATTCCCTAAGGTCCTATTAACTACTTCAGTTTGCCCATCAGTTTGTGGGTGACAAGATGTAGAAAATAGCAACTTAGTTCCCAACTTCGCCCAAAGAACTCTCCAAAAGTGACTTAAAAATTTAGCATCCCTATCACTAACGATAGTTTTAGGTATGCCATGTAATTTAACCACTTCCTTCACAAATAAATTAGCTACATGTAACGCATCATTAGTCTTCAAGCATGGAATAAAACGAGCCATTTTTGAAAACCTATCTACCACCACAAATATACTATCCTTACCATACTTAGTTCTAGGAAGTCCTAACACAAAATCCA